TTGGAATGTGTCGGCAGACTCTGTGGAGAATGATGACTGAGGAATTCAAACTTGGAAGCTATTTCCTGTCATGGAACATAATTGCTATTCTTATTATTTCTGCTAAGTGGTTTCTGTTTGCTTTAAAACACAGGCTATTCCAGGCCCAGGGGCATAGTCTGAAGTATGTTAATTTTCTCTTGAGTATAGAAAGAATAAGATATCTAATTCTTTTTAATCATAAATACAGATTTGGGTCACACAAAAGGGTATGTTTTACATGTGATTATATGCATACATTTTTCATGATTAAAATATATAGCCAGGTGGTGGTGGTGGTGGTGCACGCCTTTAATCCCAACACTCAGGAGGCAGAGGCCGGTGGATCTCTGAGTTTGAGGCCAGCCTGAGCTACAGAGTGAGTTCCAGGAAAGGTGCAAAGCTACAAAGAGAAACCCTGTCTGGAAAAACCAAAAAGAAAAACAAATATACATATATATAGCTAAGGCAAGAATACATATTTTAGAGGTCTATTTTTATTTATATGTATGTGTTTATGCCTGTGTGTATATATTCAAGTGCATGCAGATGCCTGCAGGGCTGGAAGATGGTGTCAGATAGCCTGGAACTGGATTTACAGGTGGTTGGTTGTGAGTTGCCCAATGTAAGTGCTGGAAATTGAACTCTGGTCCTCTGGAAGAACAGCAAGAAGCCCACTGAGCCATCTCCCCAGCCCTAGGAATGTATATTTATTTAACATTTCCTGTTTATATATTTTTACTTACACAGATGACAGAGAAATTGAAAGAGATTTTATATTAGGCCACTAAACACAACAGCATAGTTGTGCTCTGCACATGGAACCCAAAATGAATTATTTCTTCTGTTTCTGTCATTCAAGAAATTGTACAATGATAATTTATTTTAAAAGTCTCTGAGGATAACACTGCAAAGTAAAATTAAATAAAGCTGAACTAAAAACTGTCCACTTAAAAACCCTTGATAAGAAAAGAGTCAAGCTGAATCCTGGAGCTTACTTAGCCTAAACCTGAAAGACGTGTGGGGTTATTACAGTGAACATTTACTTAAGCATCCAGAGGCAAATAAAGCTGCACTATCAGAAAGCATTGAAATGTATTTCTTTCTTTAAGAATATGCACTTTATGCTTTTCTCACTGAACTCATGAGTTTAATGTGACCAAGAAAAGGGTGAAGCCAAAGTAGGACTGAATGTGTACAACAAACAAAATGTTCCACTTGAGATACTTGGGAGAACTAAAAATTTTGCCTTGTGATAACAACACCCCTAGGCACGGTTTATGTATAACTTTCAATATGATGCCAAACATGACACCTATAATACACACACACACACACACACACACACACACACACACACACACACACATCACTATACATGTAAATGTATATACAGTGATATGGGAGGAAACACAGCTTACAAGAGCATAATAATTTAATCTATTGTGCAGTCAAATGTTAAGCCAACCCCCTTTGTAAGATTAGCTGGCATTTCTAAACCTTAGTACAGTGAAATTTCCTTTGTGTTCAAGGGAGAGATTCTCAAGCAATCAACTTGTCTGTAGCAGAAATTTAGTAATCAGTTTGACATTGCAAACACATTGCCCACAAAAGAGACTCTACACTTTTAGTTGTAAATTTAATTTTAACAGATACTAACAGAGAAAAGGGTAAGGAAAGAAGAAAGAAAAGAAGAAAAGAAGCAGTAGTGTAAATTACATAATTAAGGGTTATGGTTGTTTTTAATGTGTTAACATATCCTTCCACCAGAGGGCAACATTTGCAAGACAGTTAAATAATCCTTCCAAGTATTTCCTCACATAAACAAATGTAAACCTGCCTCATTGCTGTGGGTAATCCCTTATGTAAATATCAAGGTATCCATGCATACAGTTATTTGAAAAATCACATATGACTTGCCTATCGAGTCACAGACAAGCAGCTAATCTATATAAGAAAATAGAATTTTCAAAAAGAAACCGCTTTTAAGGACTTTTTTTTTTTTTTTGCTACCCTCTCCTTATTTTATTATTAACATTAAACTTAAATATTGAAACACCTTAGTACTGGGGAAAATAAAAGAATTCCCATCAATGAAAAATAGAAACTATGTGATTTTTGCAAAAGGAAGACTTGATAGAGATAATCTACTGTAAACTTTTCTTTGTACCAATGAGGAAATGGAAATTTATTCGTGTAAAGCCATTGAGCCTCTTATGACAGCAATACAATTTAAGCCAACCCCAAACCAGCTGCTCTCAGCTGCACCCTCCAGGCTGCCTGTGTTCAAAGTGTGATCTGGAGAGAGATGTGTCCTGGAAAGTTAGTAAGCTTGCCTCATCTGAGGCTCCACCCAGACCTCTTGAATGATTTCTCTATTTTAACAGACCTCTTACTATGGTGAAGTGTCTCAACCCCTTCTGTTCCCTCATCCTCATTACCAGGTACACAGTTCACTGCAATGTGTAGACATCATTCTTCTCCTCTAGAAAATGGAAATAGAAACCATCTCAGTTCAGAGAATTGCCAGGGATGAATGAGGTCACCTGAGTGTGAATCATTCATAAACTGTAATCTGTTATGCACATGAGTTATGTGAATGAAACCCTGTAGGGAAAGGGTGCTTGCTCTCAGAAGGAAAGCTAATGGTGGAATAGAGGAGATGGTTAAAATTAGATAGACTATTTATTTACAGGGAAAAGGAGAGTGCCCATAGAAATGAAGGCTTTTAAAACTATATAAAAACTATATATGTAAGTCATATTCATAAGTATTACCATATATTTGCCCAAAGATGAATCTAATGAATTCACTAGGGCCCAAGGAGTTCATGGTCATTGTTTGGGGTTTTGGAGCACATAAAGAAGGCTGAAGAAAATCTGTTGGTTTGGTATATAGGTGTGCTATGGTGGGACCAGCTACTCATGTGAGCAGAGCCTGAGGATGCCACTCCAGTTTCTGGAGATGGAGCAGCAATAAAAATAAATAATAAATAAATAAAAAAGCAATAAAAAATAATTTTTTTGTGTTCTGTACTTCCTCTTATTCATGACTATATTTTGTCTTGCCACTGATGGGAATCTTTTCCAAGTATCACCAGTTCTCTTTGTACAACCTCACTGGCGACTGGGCTGTCCTCATTTTCTAGGTTTAAATTTCTTCTAAACTATTAAGACAGACAAGGGTGCCTTGCCTCCTGAAATGCTTCCTGTACATCTTTACACAGAGATTGGGTTATTTTTTATTGTGTCTAATTCTATCTCTAATTATTTTTAAGGATATTTATGTGTATCTGTCATGTGGCTTGTGAAATCTTTCAAGGGATGTTTCCAGGCATAGTGCAATTCTCGGCTTTCAACAAATGTTTTTAGAATGAGTAAATCAATATTAGCTCCTATTTCAATTCAGGCACTCAGACTGTTGCTGGGAAAAAGAGGAAAAACTAGGTAGTATTTCTCAATGCCAATGAATGCAATTATTTATTCTAGAAGCAATATTTTCATGCCAAAGTACTATTGCTTGGAATAAATATGAATGATGCAGCCATCTTGATTTTTGGTGGTTTTGACTTCTGGTCAACTAGAATTAAACTTAATGCTTAGGAGAATCATATTTGCATCATCATCTCAGCCTCACAGATAGTCAATGTAACTTCAATTTTTTACAGAAACTTCCACAATGAAAAAATCATGGATATTCCTAAATTCAGTAGCTAAAGATTTGTGAAACCTGTATTCTGAAAGATGACTGTGTGATACAAGTCCTGAGAGGCATGAAATTTTGGTTTTGATGAGACAGTTTGATAGGTTTTTTTCTTTATATCCATTTTTTGAAGATGAATGACTTCACAGTTTTTTAAATATATATTTAATATAACATATAATACATTTACATAATGTATATGTACCAAAATAACAGAAATATGCTACTGGTATCCTTTTTCAACCATACTTCCTAGTGTAATATAATTTTACCAGCACTGGATTTAACAACTGCATAAGTGTTTTAGCTATTTGTGATATTTTTTCCATCTCTATCTTTGGGAAATAATTTTTCCACATATCATTTGAAATAGTCAGAGAATGTTCTTATGTGATTCTGCATGTACAACTATACCTCTGGGGTGTAATCCAATATTCCCTATATAAAACCCAACACCCCTGTTGGTTTAAATAGCATCAGGGTTTGACCTTGGGGATGTAGCTCAAGGCCAGTCTGTTTCATAAGCACTTGCCTGAACTGCATCTAAGAAGACTATAACCCATGTGAACAGCATGAATAATTCACATTAATTCATCACTATTTAATTGTTTTGCTTAATGAAAAAAGCTCACAGATGATATACATATGCAACCAAGATGGAAAACCTTGTGTGACCATCTCCCAAAACAAACAAACAGCAATAGCAAAAAAAAAAAAAAAAAAAAATAAGATTTCAATGAGGTGTAAGTATAGTGAAGTAAAATTTAAAACATTATCAATTACTATTTGCTGACAAGTATAGGCATAAATTTTACCTGTATAGAGATAATTCAGTAGTGTGCTGTGTATTAGTTAATTTAAAACAGCTTAGAATTCTGAAGAGTTCATATTAAACTGCCTGTCTTTGACTGAACAGAGTGCTCTAAGGTTACAGCTGTCACCTTCCTTCTGCTTATCCTCCTCCTCTCTCCCACCTCGTCTTGGTCTCCGTCCATTCCTTTCTCTCTACATCCTTTCTTGTTTGCCTGAGGGGTTGAATCAAACACACAGCAATATTATTATGCACCCCATAAACACATGCTTTATATCCGAGGGAGACCAGGTGTTCACCTGGACACCACACCTAAGTAGAAGATTCTGCAATGTTGCTTCCCCACCCGCTGTCAGAGCTGGTGTGGCCAAGCTGGCCAAGCAGAGGAACTTGTCAGTGCTTAATAAAGCCCTCCTCCTCTCTTGCACAGCCAAATGCAGCCTTCCTCCTGAGAACTCTGCAGAGGGTGACATCGCCCCACTTGGTTTCCATAGCATCCGTTCCTGAAGAGCCCTAGAAAGGCCCTGGGTCAGGGCAATCCGCCCAGCTCCCCTAGGAAGTTGGCGAGCAGGCTAGCCAAAAGCAGCAGTCTGGGTTCCTGAACTTCCTCTGTCCGTGGTGCTGAAATGCTCAGCGGCGACACGCGCACCGACGGGCGCGGTCAGCTTTTTTGGAAAGTCCTCCCTGATGCTGCCTAAATCACAGCTGTGTGTCTGTTATTCACTCACGTTCGTAAAAAGCAGCTAACCTCGGTCTTAATTCGACTCTGCCACTCTGCCGCAGAGCACAGTTACGCCGGCGCGATGGGAGGAGACGACGCTAAGGCAGGAAAGCTAACAGCAGCATCGCTCACCTGAGGCCTGGGAAGCTCCCAGGGGTTCTGAGAGCTATGAGCTCTGATCAGCAAAGTCACCATTTTAGACAGTAGGATTCTTTTTGCTTTTTCCCTAATACAAGGGTTCGATGACGTTTCTGGTCCCTCTGATTAAAAGCCAGCGGATTCGATTGCAATAAGCCTTCAAAACCGGGAATTTACGTTGTTTTTCGGTGAGTTGACTTCCAGAACAGGGACTCGTCAGCACCCGCCCAAATACCACGGCACTGCGCGCGCCCTCGGCCACCGGATCCTCCCCTTCCAATGAGACTTTGTGACTCTGTGTACCAGTTCTCCTATTAGGAAACCCGTGGGCTGCATGCAGCTATTCCGTTGTACTCCTCTCTCTCTCTTGCTCTCTCTCCTCTCTCCAACTCACAGCCTTGCTGGAAAGCTCACCTCTGTGTGCCGAGAAGAAAAAGCCCTACCTTAACCGACTAAGACTATGCGCACAACTCGCCTTTCATAGCCATCACAGTTTAAATCTGGCAAGATTGGACACCAGTCTTTACAAGAATGGAGTCGGTAAAACAAAGGATTTTGGCCCCGGGAAAAGAGGGGATAAAGAATTTTGCTGGAAAATCCCTCGGCCAGATCTACAGGTAAGAGAAAGCAACCCCATGCTCACCTGGGGCTCACTATGACAGAATCTGCAAGGCCATTTCTGTAAAGCTTAGTTATTTAGCGAGACTGTAACATGGTGGGAAATTCTTTTTATTGCTCATTGCTGAATCAAGGCTCCACTGGAAACCTGCTTATGAATGCAGGAATGTGCCACTAAATGAACCTGCCGTGTGTGTGTGTGTGTGTGTGTGTGTGTGTGTG